ATATCTTATCTTCATTAAGTTCAAATACACTGTTCAAGAATAAATTTGTCAATACTCCTCTAAATCTAGCACTTTTAACATAATCTGTTCTAGAACTTTCCCTTTACTTTTAAAAGAGATTACATCAATCAGTAATGAGAGAAGAAATATGATAGCCCCATACCTCATTCCATGCATCTATTAGGGTATCCTTGAACTCCTCACAGACAACAAATCCATCATAAACAGGATGTGACCAACCAGAATGGTAATCAAATCCAATCATTGCAGGGGCACAATCAATATTGAGCTTCCGAGCAATGCGATTTAATCCACTGACTGAAAAATAGAGATATTAATGAAACAGTCAGAAAATAAAATCAAAACGGACTTTTAGTTTCATTTACAAAATAAGATTTTAAAAAATATTTACACACAAAATTTAAAAAATAAAAACTTACTTGGAATGTGGACACAACCTCTAGGCAACATGCTTGGCTTAAACAACTCAACACTGCCATATTCACTGCGAGGCACTTTTCCATCCTTTGCCACAGGTGGCTCATAGTCTTCTACTTGCCAATCACCAAACAATTCTAAAGGTCTGTCTTTCACAACTTGGCAGGTATTCTGGCAAAAGAAATAAAGAGCTTTTGTAATAACTGATATTCCTACAACATTCAGCCAATGAGGGAAAGTGAAGGAAGAGAGAAAGCAAGAGGGAAAGGGAAGGCAAAGGGGGAGGGGGAGGGGGAGGGGGAGGGGGAGGGGGAGGGGAGAGGGAGAGGGAGAGGGAGAGGGAGAGGGAGAGGGAGAGGGAGAGGGGAGGAAGAGGGAGAGGGAGAGGGAGAGGGAGAGGGAGAGGGAGAGGAAATGGAAAAGTTAAATGAAATGGGAGAGGGAGAAAAGGGAGATGTGAAGAGAATTCTGTGACTAACTTAAAGAGTCTTCACTCACCTTATCCCATTTTGGTCTAGCCTTGACAATTTTGTAAGGCTCTTCATCCACTCGTACTGTTTTTGCTTCTTTTATCCAAGTGTCTCGAGAATAAAGAGTGTATACACTCTCACGGGGAAACACAGGCTCACCCTTGATAAAGCCAACAGGAGTTTCATCAGGTGGATAAATTGCTTCAAATTTTAAAAGATGTCTTTGTAGTGCATACAGTGGATGGTTTTTGTACCTGTAAATAAATTTACAATAATCTTACTTGAAATTATCACCAGCTAAACAGAAGAAAAATGCAAATCTGACTATATGAATATCCCTTTCAACATTATCTAAAATTTAACCTCTTTCAAGTACATCATAAATGGAACACTGGGAAACTTTTTCATAGAATCTATGATGAAGTAAAAAATGTTGACAAAAACTGATAGTTCTACACTGTATCAATAATCATTGACAACAGCTAAAAAGGCCTGAGGCAAACAACCCTTTCAACTAACTCTGCAATACTTCTTGGCAGTGGTTGCTGTTGCAAGTTCTGGTCCATCTCCTTGTCTTCCTCCTTGTCTAACCTTGTTCTTGCACACCTGAAGGCTCTTAGAGATTTTTCCCACCATTTGCTGCACAATCTGATCTGTTGCATAACGAAGATTTAGAGAATTCTAAACTACTGCACAATAAAAAAAATAATAATATCATGCTTTTTTAAGCTCTTTTAAATATTAAGGCAATGTACTTCACTTTCTGCAATAGCTTAAAAGAAGCATTATTGATCATTCATCATCTGTAATGTGAGTGAGAACTAATCTCAATACATATATATATATATATATATATATATATATATATATATATATATATATATATATATATATATATATATATATATATATATATATATATATATATATATACATATATATATATACATATATATATACATATATATATATATATACATATATATATACATATATATATATATATACATATATATATATATACATATATATATATACATATATATATATATACATATATATATATATACATATATATATATACATATATATACATACATATATATATATACATATATATATATACATATATATATATATATATATATATATATATATATATATATATATATATATATATATATATATATATATATATATATATATATATATACATATATATATATATATATGAAGAAGTTAATTTAGCCAGCAAGAGAGTAAAAACCCACTTTACAATAATTATGGGAGATTTAAATGCCAAAATAGGTCAATAGACAGAATAAGAAACCGTAGTGGGGAATTATGGAACAGGCACTAGGAATGAGAGGACAAATGCTAGTCGATTCTGCAAAGGCTCGATCACTCAACATCATGAATACATTCTTTGAAAAAAATCTAGAGCAGAAGTGGACATGGAAGTCGCCATCTAACACCAAAAACAAAATTTACTTCATAATTTCAAATAGATGAAATATAGTAACTTAATAATAATGTAAGTGTTGGTAGAGACCATAGAATGGAAAGAGGCCAAATTAAATTACATCTCAGAAGGGAAAGGAAGACTTATGTAAAAACCATAGCCAAATTTAACTAATTTGAAGACCAGAGCGTCAGAATTTAACCTTAACATCCACAACAGATATTCATTTCTCAAAGACGAAGATCTCAACATTGACCAAATCAGCAAACAGTTCAATGATATAATAAAGAAAGTTGCACTTGAATAAGCGTGATGTTTAAATTATTCCAACCCTATTCCAACCCACCTTCTTTTCACTGTAAAGCCAATTTGAAATGTAGCGTCTTGTTACATCCTTCACAGTCAGATTGGCATTATAAGCTGTGATGTAAGCTGATGATGATGGCATGCGTACCTGATAATATATACAATGATTACTCTTTACTCTTGCAACAAGATTATTAATAATAGTATTTGAAATATGTCTAGGCAATAGATCTACCACATGAGCAGCTCAAATATCATAATACCTGAACTTCTGCCACGCAGTGAATTTTTCCTCTTGCGATGTCCACACAAATCCACTTCTCTTCTTCTTCAACATATACTTCTGCCCATTCTAGTAATCCTTCTGATTTTCTTTTCTTTCCATCCTTGTCCTCTTTCCCTGTTTTCTTTCTCTTCTTATCTTTCTCATCACTGTCCCCATCTGAAGACCTCTTTTCCCCACTTTTTCGCCTCTGAGAAGTAGATGCTTTGGGCCCTTTCTTTATTTTTTTCTCCTCAGGGTCAAAGTCACTATCGTCATCATCATCAACAGTCTCTGACTTTCTCTTTTGTGATTTGGAAAGCACCTGCCTCTTTGTCTCAGTAGCCTTTTTGTTCTTCTTTTTGTTAACTGGCTCTTCATCAGTATCTGAGGATAACATTTTCTTATTTGGTTTCTTTTCTTTCTTGTTCACCTTTTCTTCACTTTCTTTTACATCAGGTACTGATGGCTGTGAAAGGGAGGGTTCTTTAAAAGTGTCATTTACTTCCCCTCCTTTCTTGGAAGGTTTAATTAATGCATCTGCTGATGGCTTCCAAGACATGGGTTGCAGTGACAGAACAAGACGAATGTTCATACCTAAACATCTGCAAACCACAACAAACATATAAACAAGCTCTCTGTTTGAGATGGCAATTTTACTCTCAAACCTCTTAGCCAACATCATCTCTAAAGGTGTATCCCAATAATCTTCCTCCAGTTTACTGGGTTTATAAACTATCTTTTTGGAAAACCATCTCACAAATTTTTCCAAATAATTTGTATCTAATCGCTTAGGTGGATAAGCATTTTTATCAGTAATAATGGAGAGAGCAGCTCCTAATAATGTCTCAGAGTTCAGAGTCTGGTTGACATATCTACCATGTGCAAAGAGGCAAAGCAAATGAGTCTTATGCAAATTTTCATAAACTTCTTTTATAGAACGATTTACACTCTTCCGCAAGTAATCCTCAATCTGGAAAAAAAGAAAGTGATAACTGACATGCTATACCACTGCCAACTCTTAAGTCTGAACAATCATACATCCATTATTGTATAAAAGAAATAATAATCAAAAATCTATATATATTACATTTGAATATCTTACAAGATATTTTTTTCAGTACGATTAGATGAAGTCGAACTTAACAACAAAAAATTAGGAAGTAAACAATGTACCTACCATTTCTTCCTCAGTTCTCCTTTTCCTCTTCTTAATGCCCCAGAGGACATTTGGTGCATCCAGCTCAATCTGAACATTTCCTCCTGATACTGCACTTGGTTGTGACAAGAGCTCCTCCATCTCAGCTACTTCATCCCTTTCTCCCACCTCTTCCCAGTCACTCATATCAGAGTCTGAGTCCACTTTAGTAGACTTCTTTTGTGAGGATCTGACTTTATTAGGTTTGCTCTTATCAACTGGAGTTCTGCGTTCAGTGGGACGTTCAGTCTTTTTCTTTGAAGAGCTTGGTTTTGGTGATACTTGCTGACTTGATTTGTCTTTTTTACTGCTTTTGGAGTGGCTCTTTAAAGATACCTCATTCTTTTCTAGTGATTTTTTTCTTTCGGTGCTCTTATTTGCCACAGACCTTTTTTCATTTGTATAAGTTTCGTCACATATTTTCCTGTCAGTCCTTACTTTTCTGTTATCCTTAGTTCTGGATTTTTTGTTTTCTGGAACAGCAAAGCCTTCAAAAATCTTGCTTTCTATTAAAGAAAAATCTAGGTTACAATCATCATCATCGGTTTCCTTTGGTATCACTTTGGCCTTTTTCCTCTTGCTTGCTTCTCCTTGCCTTTCTGAGCCTTGTTCACTCTTCTTGGAAACTTTGGTTCCCTCTGAAGCTTCTTTATTTCTTGAGCTTCTTCTATGATTGGATACCTTATCATCAGCAGCCCTGCTCCTGCCATTATTTCTTGATCCCTCTGAAATGACACTTTGATTCTTGCCTTTTTGTTCTTTTCTTTGACCACAATTACCTACATCTGGCATTTCCATCTCTGACTTACAGGATGCTTTCATTCTGGGTTTTATCTTATTCTCAATAGACTTCTCCTTGACTTCTTTGCTTGAATTCTTCATATTAGAGGTCCGAGATAATAACATGGTGACCCTGAAAGTCAAGAATGAGAAATTAATCCTTAAAAAATCTTTTCAATTGCTAAATCTATATAAATACATATATATAAATAGATCTATGTCTATATCTATCTTTATATAGATATATATATAGATATATATGTATGGAGGTCTATATCTATACATACATATATATATAAATATATATAGATATATATATGTATGGAAGTCTATATCTATACATATATATAAATATATATATATAAATATCTATCTATCTATCTATTATATACATATACATTCATACATACATACACACACACACACACACACACACACACACACACACACACACACACACACACACACACACACACACACACACACACACACACACACACACACACACACATATATATAAACATATATATATATCATATAATATATATAATATATATAATATATATAATATATATAATATATATAATATATATAATATATACAATATATATTGTAAATATATTATATATACAATCTATAATTTCTATACATATATAAACATATATAAACATAGATATATACAAACATACATATATACATATATATACAAATATGTACATATATATACTCAAATATGTACATACATACATATACATACATATACATACATATATACATATACATACATATTTATACCTAAATATACATATATACATACATATTTAAGGCAATGTTGACGGGTATGATGTCTACATGTATGCCATACCCACTGTGAGTTACTCGTTTGATTGTTTTTACACCTAGATGGCTACACTTGTACTAAGTCACCAATGAGCCAATTACGAGAGATAATAAGAGAGTTGTAAATGATATACATTTACAAGAAAATCTAATGACACTATGATAGAGGACATTCACTGATACATGAATTAGTCTGGAAGTAAAGTCCCCAGAATTGAAAGGTTTTTGGTTCATGCAGTAAAGTTTGAGGATCGCATGGAGTGGCTGGAATAAGTGAGATTTTGTTTTTGCAAATAGTTGCCAATAACATCATATATATCATTTGCAGTGGAAATTATGAAAAGATTCATGCATATTACAATGTACACGGTAAAATTTGCCTGCAATGGAGAGAATGACCAAAAATAATATACTTATCATCAATGGTACTACCTTCGGATGTTGATGATAAGGATGTTGTGCGACACATTTTAGTTTTTTAAGTATTCACAGAAAATGTAATGGCACTATAATAATCAAAGAAAAACAAGTCACTAATACATAAAATAATCTGTCAGTAAAAAAAATAATAATAATAATGTAAAGAATTAGAAAATGGGTCCACACAAATGCCACTTGGAGAGAAAGTCCACGACAATCAGGTGGGGTCCAGTTGGGGAGGCCCCAGTTGGGAAATACTGCAATCAAATTAGGGTCTGGTAGTGAAACCCTAGATTAGGAGAGTTTCAGTTCAAACGGTCAGTCAATATGTCAATATGTAGAAGAGGGTAGTGGGTTACTTTTGAAACAAGTTTGATATTTTTTTGCATGAAATCCAATGCATTCAACAATTCTGGGCATTACTCCTTGTGCAAATGAATCGTTGAGGAGATATGATGATCACCATCTCCATCAACAATCTTGATTTGATAGTCCCTGTAGCTGGGGAGGGCATGAAGTATATCAGGGAAATTATGGGGTAAAATAGGACCCTCGTGGTTGTTAAACAAAACATCCTAACCCAACATCCAACCTAACCAAACACCGTGGTATATATTCCCTATTTAGAGGGCTATGCCCCCTGAACCCCCGTGGTAGTAAGCACCTAGTCAGGGGGCTACGCCCCCTGGACCTCCGTGGTAGTATATGCGTCTATAATTCACCCTCGCAATGTAAAACAAGATGAGCGACTTAGAAAAAATTGGGGGATCTTCTCTTTTCCTTTATGTATAGTACCCTTGGGAAGCATTTGCACACATTTTGCCATATAAGAACTTCGTCTTGGTATGTATTGCATCATATCATGTAGGCTTTATTACCCAACTCTGCCACTACTTTATACTACATATTGTCCAAATACCGAGCTTTATTGGTCTTCCCTCAGATTTGTTGGCCTTCTTTCACAGGTGACAAAATTTGGGGTGAATTTTGATAAAACACTGGAAAAATCATATATTCGCTTAGAAGGTGCCACTAATAACATTTTCTTAACCAGCTTCAGATATTGTTAAAACGCTCAAGTAATACATACCTCGCAAAAATTTGCCGCACTAATAAGTGTCGAAATCTCAAACCTAACAAGAGCTGCACCCTATTACAATGTTTCGGTGCAGAGTTCTTACAACGTTCCGACGTCGAGCAGCCAAGCGTCCCATGTGAGGTCCGAGTTTACGTAAAGATGTCAACAAACCACTACGTCATCGAAGCCCTGTAATATCATTGGCCATTGGGAAAAGGCGGGAAAATTCTGATCGCTGATTGGCCA